CTTGTCAAGAAAACCCCGTGATAGGATTGCCTTAGGGCAGAGGTAGGCAACCTTTCCCCTTTAAGGGCCGAGGGACTTCAGCTCCCAGAATCCCAGGAGCTATTGGCCAACATGGGACTATTGGCCAACATGGCTGAGGCTTCTGGGAGCTGAAGTCCCTCGGCCCTTAAAGGGTCACCATAAGTCAGAACCAACTTGAAGGAAAGAAACAACAATAACAAATACCCAAACCATGATTCCCCAGTTTGGATCAGAGCAATAACATTTAAATAGCAATGAACTGTAGCTCCCAGTCAACAAAGAAAACAACCACATTCCATTGTTATTGCAGTTTGATACCATATTAACTGCCATGGTTCCATCCCACAAAATCCTGCCATCTGTAACTTGGCACAGTCTACACCAGGGGTAGGCAACCTTTCCCCTTTAAGGGCCGAGGGACTTCAGCTCCCAGAAGCCTCAGCCATGTTGGCCAATAGTTCCATGTTGGCCAATAGCTCTTGGGATTCTGGGAGCTGAAGTCCCTCGGCCCTTAAAGGGGAAAGGTTGCCTACCCCTGGTCTACACAATTCTGTGCCAGAGAGCTCAAGTATGTTCCCTCAAATGTGTGTTATCAGTGCTAGAACTCTCCGGTCAAAGATTTTAAGGACTTCACCAAATTCTTGAAGCATAGGGTGGAACCATGACAGTTCAAACTGTCGTGGGAGAAAAAGCTACATTAGATGTGGCATTTAATTAGCATAATGGCTCTAGCACTGCTCAAAGAAGTTGCTTGGCAGCCCAACCTGCCACCAGCGGCGCCAGCACCGGATCCTCAGGCACTGCTTCCTTCCATTGGTGCTAAAACTCATGATGCATTCAGATTTAAATCTCTCTCGTACTCTTACATAAACAATGTCACAGGGCTCCAACTCTAACTGGAATCAATTTCCTGGAAAACTCCTCATTTTACCCATTTAGCAAAATCAACAAACATAATTAAAATGAGCACGGCAACATGGGCTTGTGTCTTTATTGCAGTGGCATGGAAGTTGATTGTGAAACACTGGAACTATCCTACGGGTTAAGGAGGAAAGAAGATTGCAAGATGCCTGCTTTCAACGTTCCAGCATGGAGACAAGGTTTTTGATCCATCCAAGATCCCAAATGTAAACCATTAAAGTCAATGTATTGATACTGTATTGCATAGCTGGGAGGCAACCGTCTATCAAGGAGAGGAATCATTGTCATCTCCAAAAACCAAAAATGGCATCTTGCTACTTGGCAGTAAATTAATTGTCTCTTTTTATTAGATTTTATACCTTTTGGGGAGAATTTTTTTTAATGATTTTAATGAAGCTTTTGGTACAAGATCATAAGTACAACTTGGATTTCCTTCTCATGGGGGTGGGTGGTGTTGGTATTTTGAGTATAATTTATGGTTCTCTTTCACCCGACAAAGCACACCAGTAGTAAAGAAAAAAGTGAGTTAATAAAAGTAAATCAATTAAGTCATGTTGAAAAGTTCTCAATAAAGTTAGCACCTGAGAAGCCAAAGATGCCTGGGGTAGGGCTAAGTTCTGTCTCTTGCTTTTAATGAAAATGCTAATCATTTCTTCTTTTCTGGAATATATTCTGTCTTCCAGTTTGAACAAGATACACTCCTGCCGCAATCAATTCCACACACCTTTATGTTGGTGTTTTTTATGCTTAACCCTCAAGGGTGAAAAATTAATAAATGATCATTTTCACCCAAAGGGAGTCGCAATGAGAACAAAATCACAAACAAGAAGGAAGACGCAAGTCTTAACACCATGGCACTAACACAGGGCCATCAGACGGAGCTGTTATTCATTCTCATAGAAGATACTCTCACACAAAATCCTCAGGTGTTTCATCTACTCAGGGGGGAGGCTCTCCCATTTCAATTTTGCATTTGAACATTTCCATCTCTAACAGCTCTTAATAGTTATCAGTGTTTATTCTCTCAATGGCTGAGACAAATCTTCCTTCTCCCCAATGGTAGAGCCAACCTAGCCAACCCAACACATTTTCCTTCCTAAAGGCAGAGGTAACCCAAGATCTCCTACAGGGGAACAAAGTGAGAACCTTGCCCCTCCAAATAAGAATTCTGCATCTCCAGTGATGTTTTCTTTCAGACCTCAAATTTCTAGTGTGGGCAGAGAGTGAGGCACTGCAAATTGTCCACACCTAGAGCCCTTATGGCCTAGTGCTTTGAGCATTGGACTACAACTTTGGAGATCAGAGTTCAATTCCCCGCTCAGCCATGAAATGCACTGGATGACCTTGAGCAAGTCTGATGATCTCAGCCTTAGGGAAAGGCAATGGCAAATCTCCTCTGAACAAGTTTTGCCAAGAAAACCCCATAATAGATTTGCCTTAGGGTCACTGTAACTTGGAATCGCAACATTCCATAGCACTGAAAGGAGCCCTGGTGCCACAGTGGTTAAATGCTGGTCCTGCTGCCACAACATTATAAATTCAATCCTGGAGGGCTCCAGGTTCGACTCAGTCTTCCAGGTTTGTAGGTCAGTAAAATGAGTACCCAGCTTATTGGGAGCAACTGGCTTATACATTCTAAACCACTCAAGGAGTGCTAGTTCACCAATAAGCAGTATAGTTGATATTGAACCATGGTGGTTAAAGTGACAAACTGTATTAATTTTGCAGTGTAGATGCAGCCACAGAAGACTGAAGGACTCTATGGAAAGCAGCTATGGAGAGCCAACTGTTCTCCATAGAAGCAGCTTTTCTCCAAATGCCAGTCTTTGGGGACCCCTCAAAGCCAGACGTTGCTGGTGAACGGTCTGGGGAGAACTCCCAAAATAGTTTAGCTACAGTCTGCAGCTGTGAATGGTCCTCAGGGCCTTGCAGTTGGAAAAGCCCTGGATCTGGATACAGTGGACCCTTCCTATACACAGGGGATCTGTTCCAGACCCTCCCCATACACATGGCAAAAAATGTGTATGCTTAAATCCCATTGATTGCTATGGTAGTGCACCCCCACATGTGGCACTGCATAAGTGCCTGCAGCACACACCAACCAGGCTTGCCATACACATAAGCTCAAATCCACATACAGCAAGCCCACGCATGACGCGGGTGCACTGTACTATACCTTACTTTATGTTGGAGCGGAGTCTTCCAGATATTTGCCATGGCTTGGAATGATGGGTTGAATGGGTTATGTTACCTTATTAATTACTGGTACAGTGGACCCTTGCTATCCACTGGGGTTTGGTTTCAAGACCTTCCATGGATATCAAAATCCATAGATGCTCAAGTCCCATTAATTACAGTGATGTAGTGAAATGGTGTGCCTTACATAAAATGGGATACTTTTTTGAATGTATATCTTTTGGAAATATTTTCAAGCCATGGATAGTTGAATTCATGGATAAAGAATCCATGGATATGGGTGGGGGCAACTGTATATATTGTATTAGATAGCACTGCTGGTTAAAGGAAGAGACATGTAGAAGTGTGTTAATTGCTATAAATGTTGCCCACTTTATTTTGCGAATAACAAGCAGAAGAAAAGGAAGTGAAGACTGTGGTGGGCAGATCCAAGGCCAGTCTCTTGAGAACGTTTGGGGGGAGAGAAGGTGCCCCTGAGAAAAGTTGAGAGAAAAGAACATTTTGAAGTTGTAACACATTTTTTAAAAAAAGCCCATAATGATTTGAAATGGTCTGTGCTTTACTTAATCTTTGCTAGTGCTTGCTGGTTAGTTCTAACAGCAAACGTCTATGGAGAATACCTATAGTTTTCTAAATAAAGGTTTTCTGTGTTTTTACCTCTGAAGCTTAGATTTCTGATCTAAGCAGTTCTTGTATATGACATTTTGCCTGGACCAGCCTTCCTGAGGACAAAATTCCTGCCTCCCAATTCCAGATATAGAAGGCAGCTAGACTAGTAGTTGAATCTTATTTCATCCCAAAATAGTACAATCCTCTATAACACATGCAGACTGCAGACTACTGGGTGCAGAGCAGGTCCGGATCCATATTCTGCATTCCTCAGTCTGGGGAAAGGGGGAGATTGTCATTAGATTTTCATACTTTTCAACATTTCACAGATGGAAATCAGTACATGTATAGCAAAACAACATCAAAGTATTTTATTTATTTATTATTTATTAATGAGGAAGAACAGACATGATAAGAGATATTTACAGCAGTTTGCTTTTGTCTGAGCCTACTAGGGTGGGCAGGATTCCATCTCTTCCTCCCCTCTCCCCTCCTTATTTCTAGGCTTATTGAGAGCAAATTACTTTTACACTTTGAACTCAGTTTGAAGCAATTGAAGTGAACTGAGGACCAAGGAGGAAAGTGGGAGGAGAGAGAAAGTAGGACATTTTAAACACAGCTGAAAAAGTGGGATGACAGAAGATGAATTGGGACTGTTCCTGCCAGATTGGGACATGTAAAAAAAATAGAGAGAGAAGGAGGATAGAGTTTCAGAACAAAACAACCTGTCTGTCTTCTATTCCCCAAAACTTAATGGCTGTCGTTTTAATACTTAGCACTTCCTCCTTCTTGGCTGACAAAGTCTGGCCATATTTTGTCTATAACAATAAGTCAATTCAGCAGGACGTGGACAGATTTGCATGCCATGGCTCCAATGTGCCCGATCTCTTTTGTTATATTTCTCTAAGACTAAGCCTCTAAGAACAGCCTATTGCTTCCGCCACCCGCCGCAACACCACTGCCATCTATTTAAGCAACTTCCAAACAGGTTCTGAGTGCAAACAACCAAAGGTAGCCAACATGCACAGGATGCTTATAAAATCAGCTGGAGGATACATCTATGTAGTAGATGACACTCTGAAACAAGTTTTTGTTGTTGTTGCTGTGTGCCTTCTAGTTGTTTCCGACTCATGGAACCCTAAGATGAACCTATCATAAGGTTTTCTTGGCAAGATTTGTTCAGGATTGGGATTGCCCTTTCTTTTCTCTGAGGCTGAGAGAGTGACTTGCCCAAGGTGGCCCAGTGGGTTTCATGGCTGAGCTGGGATTCGAACCCCGATCTCCAGTGTCATAGTTCAATGCTCAAACCACTATGCCATGCTGGCTGTCCCTGAAAGACTAAAGCCCTTTAAGAGAAGGGGAGAGTTATAGCTTTATACAGGGTGTGCTGCTCAAACATGCTTTATCTCTTACACTGCATTTTTTGTGAGACTCGCATCGAATTGCAGGGATTGCCGTGAGCAGAAGGACAATGTCGCATTTCATCCTCATGCGTACCTCCCCTCTTGACTCTTCTGTTTCCCATTTTTAGTTCCTTCTTACTTTTTCCTCTCCCTAGATTTCTCCTTTCTTCCTTCTTCCAAGCTTCATTTTCAGAACTTAGATGATGTAGTGGTGAGAACAGGAGAGGACAAAGTACAGACCAGGGCTGCATGTGGTTGTCCAGGGTTGGAGGGGTGGTTATATTTTCCAATTGCCATTTGGCAGAGACAGCCCCAGTCAATCCACTGTCTTCCCAGTTTTTCAGCTATTTTAAAACAATCCAGTTTCGCTCTTCCTCTGATGTTCCCTTTGGCCTCAGCTTATTTCAGCAGCTGCAAACTGAGTTCAAAGTGCATATATAATTTGCACTAAATTTACTCAGCAATCCAGTTTCTTTCCTCCTCTGACTTTCCCTTTGTCCTCAGCTTATTTCAGTGGCTGCAAACTAATGCGATTTGCAAATATAATTTTCACTAAATTTACTCAGCAGAAGGAAGAGGAGAGGAAGGAGTGGAAACTTGTCCTTCCCAATCAGCCCAGGCAAAAGCAAACAGCTGCAGCCTCTCCTAGCTTGTTTGTTCTTCACCAGAAACATCTGCCATCTTGTTTATATTCTGATGTTATTTTTCAGCTGTGAAATGTTGGAAGTTATGGGGGTTGGCTCCTTAATCTCTCCAAATTCCCCAGATCACTTTTTTCTGGCTAGAACAAATATTTAAAAAATATATTTAAAAAAAAATACCAGGGAGTCTGCAGCCTGCAGAAATGCCAATCCACATTTCTATTTGCTTGCAAGGCTCCTTGCAGCTTGAAATACGTATATGAATGTTAACCTTCTAAGGGACCTTTTACAATTTGAGAATCTCAACCGTTCCTCAGTATTTTAAAAGTCCCTATTCTCAAATTTTACAATGTGATAATCTCAAAATTCCACCAGAATTTAAATAGGCTAAATTCTCAGTTTTGACTTTTAAAATTCCAATTTCCTTTGGAGTTCTGAGGTTGGATGAACCATAACTTTGGATAAACATATTGTTGCACACAGGCTTCATTCTCACTATGTTGAAATGGTTTAAATGACCCTTGTTTACATTTGAGCCAAATCACTGAAGCAGCTTGGCAAAGGGGCCCCTGCACTAGACCCATTTAACGTGCATCTTTTTGATGCTCATTTGTTCCGCATCTTTTGCAATAAATCAATTCAGCACAAGTGTGAACAGGATGCAGATCAGAATAGATTTAAATTTACCCTTTAAATTTGCTGGCCAGCTGAAGAGGATCCATTTTGAATCGATTCATTAGTCAATGTGAATGACAAGTGGGTTATTTTACAGCAAGCAAATGCAATCAGGGCAAATATAATAATAATAAAATAATAATAAAATTTATTTTTATCCCGCCCCTATGAAACGCAATTGGGGCGGGATAAAATATAGTGTGAACCACGCCCCACTGTTGAACCTATCCATCAATTCAGATCGCAAACTGATTTATTTGTAAGTGAGAATGAGGCCACAGTTTTGGCTGAAAAGAATTCATTCTTACTACAAATGCAACATGCAGGTCTCCACTGATCTCTCTCTCCTTCAAAGAAAACCAAATCACAGAGCATCACCAAAGAAATTTCTCATCCTTCAAAGGAGAAAATTATATTAGTGTAATGTCACTAAACATTGACCTAGGAAAAACCTTGTTGTGCTATTACCATTCTTTGAGCCAGTGTTGCATAGTGGTTGGACTACTGGATGAAGATTCTGGGAGACCAGCTTCCAAATCACCACTCAGCTATGGAAACACATTTTACACAAATGATGATCTCTCTGGATGGTATCACATGGGGAGTCGCGGGAAGAAAGTAGAAATAAACCGAACGAGCAGAAGACTTTAATTTAAGGGATTTGTCCTGTTCCGCCTCCTCTGATAACTAAATTCGAATTTAAAAGGGGGTTAATTTGAATGAAAACCTGATCTTTTAAAGATCAGGTTTTCGTTCAAATTAATCCCCTTTTAAATTCAAATTTAGTTATCAGACGAGGCGGAACGGGACAAATCCTGTAAATTAAAGTCTTCTGCTCGTCCGGTTTATTTCCACTTTCTCTCCATGACTCCCCGTGTGATAACGTCCTCAGGACGTTATCACACCTAGGGTCTCAAAGCGGCAAGAAAATCTGCCTGGAATCAACCCAGCACCATTCTGGAATGGACCCCTGTCGTCAGAAAGAAAGCAGCATCATACCGGACTGGTGCTGGGTTGATTCTGGCCATGGCAGCTGTAATTCCTGAAGATCCCGGAATTCAAAAGAGCTGGGATGATGCCGGCATGATGCAGAGATGATGCAAAAAGGGGCGGGATTTGCCGCGACGTCGTGTGATCACAGGATCCAGGGAGCCGGCATGATGCCAGCATGATGCAGGGATGACGCAAAAAGGGGCGGGGTTTGCCGCAATGTCGTGTGATCACAGGATCCAGGGAGCCGGCATGATGCCGGCATGATGCAGGGATGATGCAAAAAGGGGCGGGGTTTGCCGCGACGTCGTGTGATCACAGGATCCAGGGAGCCGGCATGATGCCGGCATGATGCAGGGATGGTGCCGCTTTAGACCCAGTGTGATAACGTCCTCAGTCTCAGAGGAAAGCAATGGCAAACCCCCTTTGAAAAAATCTTGCCAAGAAAATCCCATAATAGTTTGCTAAAGGGTGGCAATAAGTTGGAAACAATTTGAAGGCACACAAGAACAATAGCTTACCTGTCTAGGTTGTTGTTGTATGCCTTCAAGTGATTCTGATTTTGGGTGATCCTAAGGCAAACCTATCATGGAGTTGTTATCTAAATTGCAAGAGGTCCCAGTAGGGAACCCACAAATAGTATTAAATGAGGAAATTAATTTAGCTCAATAGGAAGCAGTGAGAACTCTTCTGTAACATAAAGCCAGAAGGCTTTGGTAAGATAAAACCTGTTCCAATGGTTGCAAACCCAGAGAACTCCAGAGGCAGTTTCCAAATTAATAGTTTATTTAGAAGGGGGAGTTCACACACACAAGCACATTCTTTCATGCACACATGCACACAGGAACAACAAAGCAAAGGTAACAGTGATTTGCAGGGTTTATGTTGTTGTTGTTGTTAACTGCCTTCATGTCTATCTCAACCCATGGCGACCCTATGGATGAGACATCTCCAGGCCCCCCGTCCTCTACTGCTCTGCCCAGCTCCTGCAAACTCTTATTCATGGTCTCTTTAATAAAGTCCATCCATCTAGCATGTGGCATTCCTCTCTTTCTAATTCCCTCCACCTTTCCTAACATTATTGTCTTTTCCAACAATTTATGCCTTCTCATGATGTGTCCAAAGTACGACAGTGTAAGCCTTGTCATCTTGTCTTTTAAAGATATCTCTGGCTTGATCTACTCTAGGATCCATTTGTTTTTCCTTTGGGCTGTTAATGGGATCCTCAACACTCTTCTCCAGCACCACAACTCAAAGGAATTGATTTCCTTCCTATCATCTTTCTTAATTGTCCAGCTCTCACATCCTTACATGGCAATAGTGAATACAATAGTTTTTTATGATTCTGACTTTTGTGCTGAGTTGTATGTCTTTGCATTTTAGGATCTTTTCTAGTTCTTTCATAGCTGTCCTCCCCATTCTTAATCTTCTTTTGATTTCCTGGCTGCAGTCCCCATTTCTATCAATGTTTGATCCCAGATATGATAACTCTTTTACTATTTCTATTTCCTCATTGTCTAGTTTGAATGTGTGTAAGTTCTCTGTGGTCATTATTTTTGTTTTCTTTATGTTCAACAGTAAGCCTGCCTTTGCACTTTCTTCTTTGATATTCTTTAGTAGGCGTTCCAGGTCTGTGAAGTTCTTTGTTAGTATTATGGTGTCGTCAATATATCTCAGATTGTTGACATTTCTTCTTCCTATTTTCACTCCTCCCTCTTCCATGTCCAAGCCTGCTTTCCATACAATATGTTCTGCATATAGGTTGAATAGGTAGGGTGACAAGATGCAGCCTTGTCTGACTCCTCTGGGAACTATTCTGTTTCTCCATATTCTGTTCTGACAGTAGCTTCTTGTCCTGCATACAGATTCCTCATTAGGACTATCATATGTTTTGGCACTCCCATGTCTTTAAGGGCATTCCATAGCCTTTCATGATCTGTGCAGTCAAAAGGCTTTGCTATAGTCTATAAAACACATGTTGGTTTTCTTTTGGAACTCCCTGCTACACTCCATTAGCCATCGTATATTTGCAATGTGATCTCTCATGCCTCTTCCTTTCCTGAACCTTGCTTAGGCCTCTGGGATTTCTCTCTCCATGTATGGTTGGAGTCTATGGAGTTTATCACACGGGGGAAATCCCGTACAGAAACGGGGCTTTAAATTAGGAAAAAAAACGCAAAAGCGGTTAGTTTTTCAGATGACATCACTGTTAAAATGGAGTTAACCCGAATGGAAAGTAGTCAGAAACTGCTTCTTTTTACTTTTGGAAAATCCCAAAAGTAAAAAGAAGTAGTTCTGACTGATTTCCGTTCGGGTTAACCCCATTTTAACAGCGATGTGTGAAAAACTAACCACTTTTGCAGGTTTTCCCCACCTTTTAAATCCCGTTTCTACACAGGATTTCCCCCATGTGATAAACTCCTATATTGTAGAATTTTAAGCATGATTTTGCTTGCATGGAAGATTAGTGCTATGGTTCTATAATTGCTGCAGTCTCTTGTGTCTCCTTTTCTGTGGATGGGGATGTATAATCATAATAATAATCATCATCATCATCATCATAAATGGCTTGGGTCCAAGCTATCTTAGAGATCGCCTCCTCCCCTACA